ATCTGCACAAGTTAACACGGAGCTAACTAACTTTCACAAAAAGGAAACACCAACAGTACAACTGAGGTCTCATTTTCAAGGTATCCTGGAACAGTACACATGTGCCGAAACCATCTACACAGACGGTTCGAAAACTGTCTCAGGAGTTGGTTGCTCGATTATCATAAACGGGGTGGCCCATTTATGGACTCTTCCACCAATGAAATCGATTTTCACAGCCGAACAGTATGCAATTCTACAGGCGCTTAAATACTGCCAGATAGAGTCGAAAGCAAACTTACTCTTATAGGCAGTGATTCTTTGACCACCCTACATGCTATGTCAAATCGTTATTCCCGCGATACATTAATCTTAGCATGTCTTCAGACATTAAAGGTGTTGATGGATGGCGACAAGATTGTAGTCTTCATATGGGTACCAGGACACGTATGTATACTAGGAAATGAACTGGCAGATCAATCTGCAAGGCAAGCTGCTGCCCCAACTGTAATAGACTGTACAACAGTGAAAGCACCAGACATGAAAATGAAAATTAGACAATGTATAACAGAAGCATGGCAAAGACAGTAGAACAATGAACCTGCTCAGCTAAGAACAATAAAACCTGCTGTAATAAAATGGACAGCTAACGTCAAGATGAGTAGAGAAGAAGCCGTCCGGATACATAGACTACGTTTGGGCCACACAGCACTGACACATTCCTACTTACTCTCTGGCCAAGGACATCCAAATTGTCCATCATGCGACGCACGATTGACTGCAATGCATTATGATAGAATGTCCGGCGTTAAGCAACCTTAGAAACAGTTTTGGCCTGTCAAGAGATTTCGCAGAAAATCTGGAAAGCCTGATCTAATAAAAAACACGATATCGTTTCTGAAATGCACGGGCTTTTCCAGGAAACTCTAATTATACTCAACCAAAATTGAATCACATAACGACACGCAGCTAATGACCCAGTAGTCGATGCTGCATAATCCCAAGAACTAATACTATTAAATTGTACAAAACAACTGGATCTGTGGCTCATAAACCCAGAACTGGAAGTGGCCCGCTTTATTCCAATATCAACTTAAGAGCCTTAAAACGAATTATCAAGGAAAATTGGCGTGCTAAATATAATGAATTGATATTTGAGGTGCTATAGCTTATGGTTCCAGGTCACCTTTAATCTTCATCAGAGGTAACATGAACGCGCAGCGTTATATCCACGAAGTTCTAGAACCCCATCTTTTACCCTGGCAGATCCAACTTTCCAACAAGATAATGCCCGACCACATGGTGCAAGAGTCACAATAGACTTCTTTCAACATAATGATGTCACATTGTTACCATGGCCACCAAGATCTCCCGACTTATCCCCAATTGAGCGCGTGTGGGATTTGATGGGTAGGAGATTGCTCAATTTGCAACGTCCTCCTCAGACTCTAGAAGCACTTCGAGAGGAGTTGGTGGTTGCCTGGAATGAGATACCACAGGAGGACATTGACCACCTAATCAGAAGCATGCCTAGGCGCGTTGGAGAATACGTAGCACATCAGGGTGCATCCACACATTATTAAAGGTCAAAGGGCTTTAAAGCAGTGCAATTATTTTGAAATTTTTATCATTTACTTATTATGCTTCATTAAGTACTTATACAAAATTTTATTAAAATAAAACCATTTAAACTAGGTGTTCGGATTTATATGTCACTTAGTATTACAATACCCAGCTAGAAAACTTGATGTCATTTTGACGTACGTGATCATTAATTTTATGATCAGTACAAATGTAAGCTTACGAATCTCAAACACATTTTGGTTCACAGGTTCACAAGGCTGCTTAGTGTCACTCAGCGGCGACAGCCCTTACGCCCTGTTTACATTATACATTCCATTCCTCTCTGGAGTACTTGTTCCAGGATAAACTTCTCAAGATACGGGCCGTGGACGGCGATACAGTTCAATTATTGCCTGGAGGAGATCGCTTCTCAGTGCGCTTTGTGAACTTGATTACAGTGTTGATGTGCTCATGGGGTAGTGTTTTGGCTTACCTGAAAGGTGAGCAGTCACTGAGTGTTCCTTTATTCTACTGTACTGCATGGATGATAACCATAATACTTTTATATTAGGATCATGAATATCTTAAGCCATGTTTATAAAGATGCTATACTTTTTACCTTCATAATTTAACTTATGGCTTACGACTTGTTATTGAATATCCGCAGGTGGGACGCCTCCAGGTTCTGGGGGTTGTTATGGGACTTTCGGAGCCTGTTTACTGGGTTGAGGTAGTTATGTTACTGCTCGGTTTCGTCTACCAGGGGAAACGTCGGAGCGCTTTGGATGTTGACACGGTGGCCTTTGGCCGAAGTGGCGTCCTAGGTCTGAATGACCGCTTAACTATCTTCTCTTGGTAATCGCTGGAGTCTGAATGTATCTCATGGCAAGATGTGTGAAGGGATTGTTACTTTAATGATAGTCATATTGCTCGGTTACCTCTGATTCAGGGGTATCGTCGGAGCTTTGGGGTGTTGACACAACGGCACTTGGCCAGCGTGATATCCCGGTTCCTGGACTGTTCTTTTTTGTAACAATCGTTAAACTCGGCACGTCTGACCATACATCTAGCGACCAAAGAGTTAGAGTTAGTCTGTGTGACGGCTCCTAGTCAGTCTGTGTGACGACTTAATGATCAGTCTGTAGTAGTAGTTGGGGTACATTAATGTAGTGGTAAATAGTAGATTTGTGCATGTGATGCCATGAGTCAGTTGAATACGGGAGATACTCATAAGTCTTTTTCTAAAAATAGGTGTTGGCCCCGACAATCCGATCATATCGCCCTTATCGCTTGTCAAAGGAGGATAACTCGTTGTCGTTTCATCACCATGTAAGTGACTTTAATATTACCCCTACATTGTTGCCGATATCGAATTGTTTACGTACTGCCCATGTAGTAAAAATGAAATGGTACGGGGCGGTACTTCGAAATCCTCTAAGATGAGATGTGTTTTACGTTTATCATTATATTGATATTATCATATTATCAATTTCGTATCCTACATGATAGAAATTATTTTGTAAAAAGGTTTCTCTCTTTCGTATCCTACACTTATATGAGTGATAATTCTGCTCGCCGGGTCTGACCTTTCCATCCTACATTTGGAACCCAAGAAAAGTAACTGATATCATCAGAAAAGCACATCTCTTCAAGTTCAAAGAGAGACCTTCCTCTTAAAAGATTCTCAGAATCACGAAAGATTGTCAGAATCTTTTGGATATCTTCCAATGATTCCTCTACAGTCTTAACATGCAGCAATACATCATCAAGATATATGGCTGCAATGTCTTGCGACGGTTTCGGCAACCGGTTCATAAGTCTCTGAAATACTCTGAGTGCATTTGAAAGGCCGAAAGGAATTCTATTGAATTCGTAGAGACCTCCTGCAGTGACAAATGCTGTGTATCGCTGTGATTCCTCCTCCACAGAAATTTGGTAGTATCCGGACCTAAGATCTAGAGCAGAGTTCCCCAAACTTTTTTGTGTCGTAGACCCCTTGCCATGTTTTTTCCGTGTTGGGTAGACCCCCTACTTACCTGATATTGATTTCCTGTAAATTTCTAACTGTAGTGAAGTTTAGTGTTAAAAACTTAAAGTAAAAACACATGTTAATTTATACATTTATTAATTGAATTTAAATTAAAACTACTCAAAATAAAATTTTGTATCTGTTATGTAAAATATACGTAACATTAAATAAACAGGTGTCTGACCAATAAGTGCCCGCATTGGGAATAAGTGCCCGCATTGGGAATAAGTGCCCGCATTGAAAAAAAATAAGAGGAATAAAAGAAAAAAAAGTGAACAATAATAAAAAAAAGTTTTTACTTAAATAGTTCAATAAGCGAGTTCGTTTATTAACTATAACATAAACGTATGTTCTACAACAATTTCACTGTTAGTTTGATTAAATTCCGCTTCTTATACGTTTAAGTTATCTAAAAATAGGCAAAAAATTAACGAATTTTACTGTGTACCTATCCTTGAATTTTCAGAATAATTTAAAAAAAAATATTTTCTATAAAGGGGGGTTTTTTCAAAAAAACAATGCGGGTACTTATTCCCAATGCGGGCATTTATTGGTCAGACACCAATAAACATAAAATAAACTATAAATAAAATAACATAAGCAATAAGTCAATATTTTTAGTGAGAAGGATGAACCTGATGCTTTAATAATAAATTATCAACATTTGGCGTCAATTTTGTAAGGGTTAATCTTAAATCTCCTCGGCTAATTATGTCCAGTCTGTTTCTTTTTCTCGTTAGGAGATTGGTAACAGCGCTGAACCCCCTTTCCACTAGGTATGACGATGGAAAGGATATTAAAAATTTCCTCGCTATATTCCATAATACGGGATAAGTAACGGTTATGTTGTTTTGCAGCCAGAATTGCTGATATCCGTTTTTAAACTGAACCTTAGGTTCTTCGTTTGTACTTAGTTCAGTCAGTTCCTCTTGTATTATGACATTCGTTTCTTTTATGTCACCATATGGATTAATTATCCACGGTGGTATTACCATAGTCAAAATATCCTCAAACCTAGATTCAAAATTTGAATAGAGGGCATTTAAATGTTGAACGTAAGTTGAAACGTCGTCTTCCTGGCAGCTTGTCTGTGACAAATTGGGGAACTGAGAAAATTCGCCCCGTCCAATATTTTGCTTCATTAGTTTAACTCTGGCAAGAAACGCTGATAAGATGGACTTTGTTTTAATCAAATTTAAACTGTCGCCTTGTAATTGCAAATTAACCATATTAAATTTTGTAAACAAATCTGTTAAATAGGCGATGTCTGTTTTCCTCTTCATTAAATTTTCTTTTAAAATTTTATCTTTAGTATCCAGAAAATCTAAAATAGTCTCAAAAGTGCAAAAAAACTTGTCAAACATAAGCCTTTCGACAGCCAGCGTACTTCAGTGTGAAGGAGTAAATGATGAAAGTGTTCGTCATTTCTTCACACAAACCGCGTATTCAACGCGTTGCTTCGGATTCGGTTTACTGCATCAATGACTAAATGAAGTGATTCATGCAATCTAACGCTCAAATTTTTACGAACTAAATGTTGTCGATGGATGACGCAATGTATTGCTAACACCCCTGTCACATTTTGTTTTAAATAGCTTATTAATCCACGATAACGTCCAACCATGGCAGGTGCTCCATCTGTAGCTACTGATGTTATATTTGATAAAGGAATTGCTTCTTTAATGAAGTAATCCTTCAAAACATGAAATATTGATTCACCTTTAGTGTCGGTTATCAAAGTTCTTGCGAAGAGCAGTTCTTCGTAGATTTCTTGATTCATAATGAAACGAACATATGCCAGTAATAATGTTGCATTATCAGGTAAAGTTGACTCGTCCAGTTGTATAGAGAAATGGGTCGTTTGCAAATAATTACATAAGAAGATTTCAATATCAGAACTCATTTCATCAATACGTCTTTCAACAGTATTGTTGCTTAAGGGAACTCTTTTAATGATATCAGAAGCAGGTTTGTGTAAAACAGTTTTTAAAACCTCTTCAACGGCTGGCAAATTTAACTTTTCTCCGATAGTATGCGGTTTTCCGGATTTTGCTATAAGTAACGAGATATTGTAAGACGCCTGCAAACCATGATCATTTCTTTGTGACGTCGAAGCGAACATTCTGTCCAGTGTAGGTCTCTTCTGAAATTTATCTTTGAGTGTTTGAAAGTATTTCAAATCTTTCTCTGTTTTATCAGGGTGGCATCTTCTCAGATGATCTTGCAGTTGAGATGGTTTCATAGCGTCATTGCCCAAAACTTTGTTGCATAAAAGGCACATAGGCGATTGTTTGTCCGGCAATGATGGAATGAAGCCAAATTTCAAATAATCAACACTGTACTGTCTACATTTCTTTTTAGATTCGGACATGGCATCAGTCATCTGTGGGCAAAATTAAATTATTTAAATAAGATATAAAATCCAGCAGCTGTATATTAAAAATATTTTATGATTTTTCCGAAAACATTCCATAATTCGAACATCTTCTTGCAACATTTAGCTCGAATTACGGAGATTGCACTGTAATGATATTACCGACTGCTAAAACTTTCAAAAAGAAACTATTGAGGAGTACTCGTGTAATTTTGCATGATTGAATATTTAACTACTAATAACTAAAGTCATGATTGGCGTAATTTATCTATCTTTGCTAACTACGAGTACAAAACTAAAATTTAATAAAGAATAATGTACTTACTTTTCTCCAGCACTCTCTAACAAAATAACACTGACTCACTATAATTTGTGTGATATACTATACTATCTGTTTATATTTTTTAAAATATTTTCTTAGCACTTTCCTTTTCAGGATTCAGGAAACGAATAAACGTATTTGTCCCACATTCGTATTTATAGAGTGACGAATTGAACAAGTCAGTGCAAGGTAGCGAAGCTCTGAGACTGCGACTCTCAGGTTTTTACAAGTTCAAAATATATTGCGACCACAAAGCGAATACCAACATCCTTCAACTTACACAATTTTATAAACATATATAATAAATTTTTTACTTCATAGGTACTTTTATAAATAATGTATATGTTTTGATATTATAAGATAGTATGATGTAAGTAAATAGGTACTATCAGTGTAGTGTTGAAATCCACTATCGTGGACCCCCATATTCATTTCATGGACCCCCAAATTTTTTTTTCGCTGACGTAGACCCCTTGCAGGTTGTCATAGACCCCTAGGGGTCGATATAGACCACTTTGGAAATCAATGATCTAGAGTAATGAAATCGATCCCGTCACGGAGCCTGTCGATTTGATCATCGATTCTTGGCAAGGGATCACGTCCGTGATTTTTATCGCACTCGAACGGTGATAGTCGACAGATGTATGACTTTGTTGCTCAGAAGATCATCGACTATCTCCTTCACAGCCTCTTGTTCTGATCGAGCCATTCGGCAAGGCCAATACGTAAATGGCCTATCTTCTTTAGGCTGAATAGTCATTTCAGCGGACATAGCCTCGCTAAGTTCAGCCATGGACTGATCAAAACAGTCGAGATATTTATTCGGCGATCTAACCAATTTTTCTCGCTGAACTTCCGATATGGACCCAACCGTGTTGTCCTTCTCTTTATTTGGAACCATCGAAATATAAATTAATGATCTCATCAGGGAATCCGATATCTTTGAATTTAGACGTGAAGCTTTCCTATCAATAAATTTCCCAAACTCTCTGGATATCGTCACCGTTTCGCCGACTGCTTTAGCTGGCAATAAGGTACCATCGCAATATCATGAAGTTGTTAGAAAGACTGAGAAAACCTCCCTAAATTTACATAGAACTCCGAGAGGACAAAGGGTGTGTAGGACTCGAATTGTTCCTTTATGGAAGGCCTAGACTTGCGAACAATATCCCTTAAGGTAACCTGCTTATGGTGAAAAGCAAGTTATTTGTAACTTCTCCCGCAGTCAAGGGCTTTCCAATAAGTAGAGTGTATTTCTATCGTAACTTTGGTACCACAAGGGTTTTTATACCTACGCCACATCATCATTTCCAATGATTTAGTGACAACAATTATGAACTGGGTCAAAACATTTACATAACCCTTCAGTATGGCCACTCCCGAAGGGTTATAGGAAATGTATGAATTTGTCACCACATCGAAAGTAATGATGAAACAAGTGTGACCAAAAAAACTACACAACCTGTTTATGGGCAACCGTCCACTTTCATTGGCCAATAAAATCTATTTTTGGCATGGCACCATCGACATCACTTGCAATTAGTCAAGCTCTAACCACCCGCTGATTACTGTCTTCTATTTTGACCTGCAACCCCTGCAGTCTTGTCGCCAAAATAACAAAGATTGCCTTTTTTGTACAACTCGAACAAGAATGTCCTTTCTTGCGACTCAGATAACGATAACGACCTTTACCAACATCTGTTTTCTGTTTTAAGCTGAGGTATGTTCATACGACTAAAAATCTACCTACTTGGCCTCAAGAAAGTGAAAAAGAACTGTTATGTTAGTAAGCAATTAGGCTACGACTTTTTACATTTTTACTACTGTTTCTAATAAACAGCTGTCAACTTCTCTAACTTGGGCATTCATAATGCAACAAGGCCTGCATAGTCAAAGATGGTGCGAGGCTTATCTATTTTATGACAGTACTTGTCAGCAAACTGTTTTCGATCTCCCGAGATTCTACAGTGTCGGCGTTACCCATTGACGACGAACGGAATATTTTTGAGACCAAGATGAAACTTCGAATATTTGACAACCTGCTCAAATCCATATGAGACAAAATATGAAGAAGTGGGAGGTTCGAAGTTCAATACGTCAAGACCGACCAAGAGTTTCCCATGAGACTTTGCTTCCTTGTATCTACAAGACAATCCTGACATTTCACCAAATACCAACAGCATCAGAAGCCCATACCCATCAGAACTATGCAAATGAGTGTCAGATCCCACTTCTGAGAAAATATGTAGGATACGAACGAGAAATGATAATAATGTAATATAACGATAAACGTGAAAACTACAAACCCATCTTAGAAGGTTTCGAAGTACCACCCTGTACCATTTCATTTTTACTACATAGGCAGTACGTAAATAGTTCGATATGGGCAACAATGTCAGGATAATATTAAAGCCACTTACTTGGTGACGGAACGGCAACGAGTTATCTTCCTTTGGCAAGCGATAAGGGAGATATGATCGGATTGTCGGGGCCCATATCTACTTTTATAAAAATGACTTGAGTACCTCTCATATTCAACCGACTCATAACATGCACTACCTTAGGATTACATTAATTGTCCGCAGTGGTACCAATTCGTCATTAATTACACTGATCAACAGCCAAAAAATATCCTAAATAAAATCAACAAAATATTACTATTTTTAATGTGCTAAAACCGGAATGAAACTTATTTTTTCAATATTAGTTCAAGTTTTAGAGATACGGTAATTATATGTGTTCCTGCTGTGACAGTATATACTGTAATTCACAAGAATGCACGTGCTACATTTTTATATTCGGCAAGGAAAGATGATGTAATCGGCATGATTGTGTTACGTTATACATACGTGTACATTATATTGTTTTATATTAGCCATTTTTTCCTCAGTTGGCTGACAGCGTTGATGCAAGATGTCTCGAAAGTGTGTAAACAATCCAGATCAGTTTTGTTACGTGTGTGGTGATGTGACTTTTGCGTCTCAGAGACGGTCTATTACTCCACTAATAACAAAGGCATATCAGCTTTATTTCGGTTGTAAACTAGGTGATCACGACAAACAGTAGGCAGCCCACATCTGCTGTAATACATGTGCTTCAAGTCTGAGGAGCTGGTTAAATGGCAAAAACGGTCTATGCGCTTTGCTGTCCCAATGGTTTGGAAAGAGCCTACAAATCATATTAATGATTGTTACTTTTGCATGGTAACTTGTGTTGGACAAGCCACAGGTATGTCCAAGAAAAAAAAATCGGTTATTAACTATCCAAACATACCATCTGCGATGAGACCTGTGCCTCACAGTGACGAAAATCCTATTCCAAAACCCCCAGAATCCTACACTTGCGAATCAGAAAACGAATCAGATCATGGCGATCGAGTGATTCGTCAGAAAGAAGATATGCCATCAACGTCGAGAGATCCTGATTTTATACCGAGCACGTCATGCCACCAACCCCACAAAATAACACAGTCAGAATTAAATGATCTTGTAAGAGATTTAGAACTTCCAAAATGTAACGCAGAGTTACTTAGATCAAGACTGCAGCAGTGGAACTTGTTAGAAGACGATGTTTCGGTATGTGTTTTTCGTAAATGCCACAAAGACTTAGAACCATTTTTCAATATGGAGAATAGCTTGGTTTTCTGCAGTAACATTAACGGCTTAATGGCGGCTTTAAATATAAACTATAACCCAGAAGAATGGAGATTGTTTATAGACAGTTCAACATTGAGTTTAAAGGCAGTGTTATTGCATATTGGAAATATTTTACCATCTCTTCATGTAGGGTATGCAGTTCACATGAAAGAATCATATGACGATATGAAGTACCTATTGACATGCATAAAATACGATGAGCACCAATGGCATATTTGTGGCGATTTGAAAGTTGTACTTTTACTTGGGCTGCAGCTAGGCTACACAAAGTTTTGCTGTTTTTTGTGTGAATGGGACAGTCGGGCAAAGGCACTTCATTACACCAGACAAAACTGTCCTGTTCGTCATTTCCTAGAGCCAGGTCAAAAAAATGTACAGCATATGCCATTAGTAGATTCGAAAAAAATTTTATTACCACCACTGCATATCAAGTTGGGCCTAATGAAAAACTTTGTCAAGGCATTAGATAGAGATGGGTCAGCTTTTCAATACCTGCGTCAGAAATTTTCAAGACTAAGTCCCCTGGGACACACAGTCCCGCATTGACACAAAGTCCTCCACTTAGGCAATTTTAAGCACACAGCAACCTATGTTAATACCCAGGCGTGTGGACAGATATGCTGAGTTTAACGATTGTTACGAAAAGCAAGATGACAAGCTTTAGAATAACAATCTCTACGCACATCCTGCCATGAGATACATTCAGATGCCAGCGATTATCAGTAGAATATGGTTAAGCGGTTACTTAGTCCTAGTATGCCACGTCTGCCAAAGGCCTGATGTCAACATCCCAAGCGCTCTGACGTTTCCAATGACAGTAATTAACATAACCACCTAGACTGGAGGCGTCACCTGTATGAGCCACCTAATTTCCCTAGCCTTATCCGTAAGCCATTGATAGAAATATGGATATATGATCCAAGCATCTTTATAAAAATGGATACATGATCAAAGCCTCATTATAAAATATGGATATATGATCAAAGCATATTTATAAATATGAATATATTATGCTCGAAGCATCTTTATAAATCAAAGTTTCTTTATAAATAGGAAACACTCAGTGATGGCTCACCGCTCAGGTAACCAAAACACTACACCCAATAGCACATCAAGACTAATTAGGTCCATAATGCGCACTACTTGGTCTGAGAACCGATGACCTCCACGCACTATTTGAACTGTGATGCGAGCAAAGTTTATCCTGGGAACATGTACCCAGAGAAGGAATGGAATGTATAACGTAAACACGCCTAAGGGCCGTCGTGCTGAGTGACACTAACCAGACTTGTGAGTCCAATGAAAAGATTTCGTGTGCTACAGGGTTGAGCTCGCATGCAAAAATGTGTTTGAGATATTTCGTAAGCTTACACACACATGTTTTTAAGACAAATTCTTCAAATCTAAGAAATCTTCCCAGACCGACACCGATGAGTGTCAGCACAAGAAACACAATACGTCAAGGAGGCCATAAAGGCGCCCTACAATTGTAGGGACGACTGACGATACGGGCCTAAAGCCTTCGATAAGGTTGATCATGGGGTGCTCATTGCTAAGCTGGGTTCATTTGGTTTTACTGAGAAATCAATATCGTTATTAATGTCTTACTTGTGGAAGCGACAGATGTACGTTTCTTGGAATGGTTTCGAATCGTTTCGATACAATTCGTCATCTGGGGTACCACAAGGTTCCAAACTGGGCCCCTTATTATTTTTGATCTTTGTGAATGATGTATGTGATTATATTGATTGTGGTAAACTGTTATTTGCTGATGATTTGAAACTGTATGTTAATATTAATAGTGAGTATATACAAACACAACTTTGCCGTTTGGAAGATTGGTGTATGCTAAACAGGTTACATTTGAATATTGCTAAATGCAAGGTAGTTACTTCATCCTGAAAGCTACGTAAAATAGAATATGCATACAGTATTGGGAGAATTCAGGTCACTCGAGTTGATACTGTTCGTGATTTGGGTGTTATGTTTGACACTAGGCTTAGTTTTGACTGTCATATAGATAATATTGTGAATAATGCTAATAGGGCCTTAGGTTTTCTCATCAGAAACTGAAAGCTAATCAATGATTTGAAAGCACTAAAAACCTTGTATTATGCTTATACAAGATCCAAGTTAGAGTATGCATCCCTAATATGGAATACCTACTATAACTGTTATATAAATAGGATAGATTATGTTCAAAAAAAGTTTCTTAAATATCTAGCTTTTAAGTGCGATAGAGTCTACCCTCAACGTCTTTGAATGTGAGAAGGAAGCACAGTTCTGTTATTTTTTTTTGTTTAAACTCTTACATGGAACTATAGTTTCTTCGGAATTGTTATCACAACTACAGTTTTTAACGCCAAGATCCGTTTCAAGATGTAATGTTACTTTATTTTGCAGTCGTGATAACACAAATTTGATTTTAAAGTCACCTGAAAGGGTTATGTGTTTGAATTATAATAGTATTTGTAAGTTTTGTGACATATTCTTATGTTCTATTTAGGAGCTGAAATGTGTTTTGCGGGAGCGCCTTAGATAGTTTTATAAGTTAGGCTTTTGTAATATTTCTAATTTGAGAGTTTGGCCTATAAATGGAATATTATCTGTTGGGCAATAAAAGCTATAAATAAAAAAAGATAAATAAAAGTTCCACGATTGGTAAGTTACTTTACTTAAATCCTAAATACAACTTCTATTATTTATCTGTTGAGCCACACACAAAGTTTATCAATGAAACAAAGACATCAGTATGTGAAGGTGAAATTCGAATGAAGAAATCAAAGAAGCAATCAATAATTCTACAAAATTGTCAAACCCAAGAGCATCTAGTTAACCCCAAGAACAGAGACAAAGATAGTAAAACTGCCAAGAATATTAGAAGTTAGGAGACAATTTGATAATCTTAAAGCAGTGTACACGAAGGTTTTAGATACTTTACATTCTATTGGTTTGTTTCATGGAACTTCAAAAATTCATCTTATCTTTGTAATAAAATTCGGCATCGAACAGACGTTCGCAACCTTGCCCTCCGTTTTAGGTATTTCACACCGATGACCAAATAAAAAGATGGCGAACATTTCGAAAATCTAATTCGAGAGCTTCAAAATAATAAAAGAGATTTGACCAACAGCATTACACAGAATAATGCCATGTCAGTGTCCCTTATTGATAAGTTCAATAAAACTGTTCAGCAAGTCTGTCATAATGAACAATTGCTGAATGATAAAATTAGTACCATCTATGCAATTGTCCATCGTGGTACAATCGATTCAGATCTCCATAAATTTTTACCAAACACAGTATCTTAAATTATGTACACCTATGAAGTAATTCTGTCAATATTACAAGATGTTGAAAATTCAATATTCAAGATTAGGCCAAGAAAAATTTGCGAGCCCGGTTTTACTAGATAACATACCAATTTTTGAAAAAATAGTCAAAATCTCCAGTTATCCTGTGGACAACAAAATTACTTCATTTTATCACTCCGAATATGAGTCATTTAATTTATATCGTCCCTTTCCAGTTCCGATATATTTTGAAACTCAATTTATGACAATCAATCCAAAAGAGCCTTATTTCGCAAGAAATGAATTGCACTTTGCACTTTTCGGCGACATTAGTACTAATTACTCCTAAAAAGTTTCTCTGCGAGAAGACCGACTTGCAAGAATCAGTGGTTCGTTAGCTTGTGAACTTGAACTGTTCAATGGAAAAAACGCCCCTACATGTGCCCGAACTGCACTCGTACTCAATCAGCCAAGTATCAAACGGACCAATCAATGGGTATTAATCCTGCCACTACCAGAAGTTATCAAAATTGAATGCCAGAAATGCAAATGAAAACATTGACGGGAACTTACCTTCTTTATATTCCTGTCAACTGTCAAGCCGAAATTAATCATGAAATCATGAAAAATTGACCCGAAACGATGGTCGCGGGACAACCTATAATATTCCCGGATTTAAACCTGGACACAAAAGGCGACATCTCATAAAAAATTAAGTAGGACGAGTTAAGTAAAATCAAGTCAAGCATTATCAACAACAAACCCAACTTCAGGAAACCTGCAGACTTTTTATACCCAGTGCCTGGACACTGATAATATATAGATGTATATTACTCTTGGATGTCTACGCATTCTGGAAAACCATCTTGAAGAGAAAGAAGCTCAGAAATAGAAGTATTCAGCAACCAGAAGACTTCCGTGAAAAAATCTTCCCCGTAGTTGAATCTCAGAGGGGGGGAGTTATATCAGCCGTTTCTGCCGATATGATAGGAATAATGCTGACCATGCCACTAATTTCCTAGAAGTCCTAGAGTTACTTTATTGTTCTCAACACATTTTACAGGCAGTCAGATTTAAGCCTTTGTGCTGTTAACATTATAATGACATTGTAATAATATTGTTAAAGTACATTTTTGAGTTTTGTATTTTCGAAAAATAAACTTTTTAAAAAGCGATCTCGAGGCATCAATTTTATAACTCATGCGATACACTGTCAACACATGCGTAGAATTTATTTCCGGCTCGTTCTGCTCAGTGTGTCGACAGTGGGCGTTTGTTTACATGTTGAGTGAAACACGTGTGGATGGCTTTTCACGAAAACAGACGTAAGTACAAATCATTCGTAAATGTATTTGGTTTTAAATAGTTGTTATAATGTTCCATAATAAGTATGTTATTTTATTGCAGTGAACTTTCTCGCTAAGGGTACCGACTAGACGAAATAGAAGAACTATCGGTGGTGATACTTTGGGTCTCTAACAATACAATTAAAGAAAAAACAAAAAAAATATTGAATCACTTTACAGATATTATATTGTTTCAGGCCATTTGACTGACAAAGAGCTGCAGGAATTGGCTGATGCGATAGATCTAAATAACTCTAATATAGATGATGAATTTCTTAGTGATGATCTTGATGGTGATAACCTTGGAGAGGGTTTGTTGACCGAGCAAAATTTTGACCCCTAGCGTGTTTAATTCCATCACATTCCAAAAAGTGGATACGCAATAAAGTCTTTGATCAGTCGAACCTCCTGGATTCTGTAAATTACAGCGATCAAGTTAAAAGACCTCCTAAATATTTTCAAAAATATATTAATGATGACTGCTTTGAAAGTGTTTCTGAACTAACAAATATCAGAGAAGTAAGCAATACGGGAACGTTCATTGAATACTACTGCTATCGAGATTGGAAAATTATTTGATTGTATCATGCTAATAGGAATTTATTCACTACCACGTTTGCGAATGTTTTTGGCTAACAGCACTAGGGAGGTACACGTACACTGTCTTATAACATCACAAGAAATCGTTTTTTTAAATTGCGCTTTCGTTTAAAAGTTGTAGACGACAGTAGGGTGCCCGCAAAGGCAAAATCGCTTGATAGATTCTGGAAGGTGAGACCCCTCCTTAACAGAGTACAAAAAGGATGTCGCATGAATGAAAGAACCAGCGTCCATCGATGAACAGATGATACCCTTTGCGGGCCAAGTCAATTTGTGTGTGGTAAGCCTAAGCCAGTAGGCCTCAAAAACTTCGTAATGGCTACTCCGACTGGAAACCCGCTTGATTTTTACATCTATGAAGGTAAGGGCTCATCGGTAGAATCGGCGTTATTAGCAGCCCCAGAAAAATTGGACGAATGGTCCTCAAAATTGGCAAATACTCTTCCTGTAGGAGTTTCTGTATCTATGGACAGATTTTACTTCGATCCCCTTAATAGATTTTCTTTGCAAACGTACCTTAGCCGAAAGGATAATGGCTAACAGAATTCCTAAAAGTGCTAGTCTTCTACCTGATAATGAACTGAAAAAGAAAGAGAGAGGAAGCTATGATCACCTTGTGCGTGACGACGGAAAAATAATATTTGTGAGATGGTTCGATAACGAACCTGTAAACTTTGCTTCACCCTGCATTGGCGTGGACCCAGAAAGAAATTTTAGTGGGGGTCTAAGGTTAAGAAAAAGCCTGTTGATGTCAATCAGCCAGCAGTTGTTAAAAACTACAATGCAGACATGGGCGGTGTAGATCGCGTAACTGGAAAATATGCAATGAGCAATCGGACAAACAAATGGATTGTGCGAACTATTTTTCATTTTATCGATTTCTCAGTAGCAGCAGGCTGGCTTGAATACCGCGAAAATGCTAAAGCTGCCGGCTTACCTAGAAAGGATATTATAGTTTATTTTGATTTCAAACTATCTGTTACCAAAGCACTGGTATTCGAAAATCAAGACCAGGATGATATAGAATCTGAAGGAGTTCAACCAGGGAACAAACGACAAAGCGTCCAACCTATTATAGGCTTCAGGTAAATACACATTTGGTAGAATTTATGAAAGACATACAAAAATCTCGATCTAAGTGCCGTTTACCTACGTGCGATAAAATAACTTTTGCGAAATGTAAATCTTGTGGAGTGTATTTATGTTGTAGCATGGAAAGAAATTGGTTTTTAACTTTTTACAAATATTTAACATTTTTTTCCATTTGCTTACTTACTTTTTTTTATATGCCTAGAGACCCAAAGTATCCTTTGTGATACCTAATTTTTTATAAAAATGGGGATAAAATTTTGGAAAAATACAGTAATTGTTGGCTTTTGTATGTCCAAACAACCAACTGACTAAAAAATCAACAATCATTTAGAAGTAGAGTTACTCTGGATCTGAAGAGGATAGGTATTACAAAACAAAAACTAGTTTTTTCTATTATCGGCTCTAAATGAAAACGCATTTCCAATGATATTCTGTAAGCTACTAGCGATTTAGTATGAAATTAAAATTACAACTATTTCAGAAGCTACCAATCGCCGCAAGAAAGTGAGTAGGCTATGAAAATTTAGGATGTTTACAAATAGCACTTATTTGAAAAGAATAGTAGGCTGTGGAAAACAAATTAAAGTCAATTCAGAGCGTACGCATTATTGTTTCCTTATTTGACATTTAGCAATCTTTGTTTCACTGAAATTCATAAATAAAGATAAAAAGTAAACGTACAGCATTTTGTTACTACAAGTTTTACAAGAAACGAGCAAGTTGATATGCTATTAATATTCAGTGACTGCAGAACAAATTCTAGAAATGCTTGTGCGTTGTACACTCAGAAATGTCCTAATAGAAGAAGTGATTCATACTTTTTCAAGTTAGAGGCAAAGTTTAGAAATGAGGATGTCCATGGTGATGAAGATAACTCTTTTGCAGTAAGTGAAGCAGCAGAGATAAATAAAATAAATCACTTTGACCAATGGTATCTACTTGGCAACTGTAACAGGCAACAAATGTACATTGTAAGTCAGCGAGGCATATTTTGAAAAATCATGTATTCTGCTCATATAAATATCAGGTACACCAGGGCTGTCCAACTTCAAAAAAAATGCAGTTTGGAGGGCCGCATTATAAAATCTTTCTATACAACATTATTACAGAGTTAATGTAAGGATTGTGCATATTCGGTATTTGAGAGTAATTTATACATGTGATGTATACATGACCCGTGAAGCGGGCCGCAAGAAAGGAAATCGCGGGCCGCATGTGGCCTGCGGGCCGTATGCTGGACAGCCCTGAGGTACACCATTACTTATATGAAAATGATTTTCCAAGAAGATTGGCCTACTGTAACTGGTTTCGTCCTCAACTTAAAGAAGATAGAAATGTTCATTATCTGATGAATTGCGTTTTACATATCTTGGGTTATTTAACAAAAATAATACACGTTACTGGGCAACTGAAAATCCACGTTTGATAAGAGAAGGGGCCTTTCAGGACCGTTTTGGAGTGAACATGTGGCTCGGAGTTCTGGGAACCCGCATAGTTGGGCTTATATTTTTTTCTCAAATGTCAGGAAAAAATAACAGTGATCTTGGAATAAATCTGGTGTAGAACAAATAACTGCCTGGTAATTTCAAGGCCTACCTAGGAAATTCCGCTGCTTTAAATAACTAAGATTTTTCAATGGCAATGTATGGCATATTATACATTTTTGGAATCAAAACTAAAAACTGTATTGATCTATGCAAAAATCCAATCCAATCCATAAGAAAAAAGATGAAGTTGATGCTGGATGACAAGAGATGAAACGTCGTACTGAAATTCTAATTATGTCATCTTGTAGAAGAGAAAAAATGGCAATGTAAATACCTATGCAATTTATTTCAAAATCCCACTACAAAAAAAATTAAAACGATTTTGGGGAAACTCGATTTTTTCTGTCTCTTTCCGGGAGCACTTCCAAACATTCGAAATGCCATTTTATTGATTAAGTGAATACGCAACTTTGACCCCATTTAAGTGAATTCGTATCTCTTACAGTTTCCGAGATCCCAACCGTGAGGATCGATTTTGAAACACCCTCAATACGTCTCTGATCGTATGCGCTTCTTTCGTGAAAAATCAACATCAAAGTGTTACATAACCTCACTATCACCGACTCACCTGGGTCTTTGCTTACTGGCGCAACTGAACATGGCAGGTGACACCGCTTGCATACCACAGACTTCACAACTTCTAACATTTTTCTGAGTTTTTATGCATATTATGATGTCTATGAGAACTAAGTGAATACGTTAACTAGAAGAAATTACGTCTTTTACCCAAGACAAACCGAATAAACAATCACACCGGCCTACTAACGCCAACAGTATAGCATGGGGATAAAACGTGATTTAAGTGACAAATGAAGTACCCACAATAAACCTTTCAATATCGAAAAGTGCTGAAATCTCAATTAGTGGTATTTATTCTTATTTGACGCACGGTAAACAGACGTATGCAAGGTCTGCAAAAATGCTGGGAAGCAAAGTAAGCAATTTCGTATCAGCAAACCGACAACGGAGACTCAACTAAGAAATATGCGATGTTGCCAGATAGCAAAAGTAAAATTATATGAAAGGCGGAAGGTGAAGTATGGAAGTTATAGTCTTTGCACCCACTTTAGTGGTTCACAGTCCATGGTAAAATTACCAGTATCACATCTGTAGGATACGAACGAGATGATAATAATGGAATATAACGACAAACGTGAAAACCACAAACCCATCTTAGAAGGTTTCGAAGTACCACCCTGTACCATTCGATTTTTACTACATGGGCAGTACGTAAGTAAATCAGTATGGGCAACAATGTCAGGATAATATTAAAGCCAAGGAGTTGTCCTCTATTGGCAAGCGATAAGGGCGATATGATCGGATTGTCGGGGCCAATATCTATGTGAGCCTTTCGCTGAATCGCTACGCTACGCCATCGAATATGTTTTGTCTATTGAATATGTTTTGTCTATTGAATATGTTTTGTTTACTTCTGGCGACCGTAAATATTCCGGTGTGCTGCGATGTGTTTTTGTGGGCAAGGTGGTTAGTCATAGTCAGTCTTGTAACAGATGCTGGAGTGAATACATGTGATACAAGTTATGAAGTGTTTGATTTTCCCTAAGAAAATGATAATTTTCTCACATCAGAAGTGGGATTCAACTCGCTAAAAGGACCACAGAAGAAATACATAGTGCAACCTGACTTATTTCGAGTGTGCGTGCGTGAGCAATTCATTGTCCTGAGCGTATATACCTAGTGAGCGTTACTTTTGGCAGTGATACTTAAGTGCTAAAAGTCTGTCGAAATGGAGGAATTAACCAGCGTTTTAACTGCAGTTCTTCGAGGAATTCAGCAGCAACCCCAACAAGCCGCAGCGGCGCCGGTGGTGCCAGCACCCTCTGCGCCAATTAACATTCCAGCTTTCGATCCCTCAAAAAGCGATGCGGGAGCGATGGGTTGGTGCGACGATATGGAGACCACGTTCAAGTGGACTGATTTTGAACAGCTTTGCAGAGCCGCGGGTGCCCTGGAAGGTGACGCAAAGGATTGGTATGGCAACTGGCACCCATCAAATAAAGTTTGGGCTAGTTTCCGGGCCGAGCTTTGTCAGCTTTATCCTGCGAAGAGGAATCTTAGTGAGCGGTTACGTAAAGCTAGTATGTACAGAAGTGACCAAGCCACGGGATATTGTGAGTACGCAAGGAAAAAATATCTTTGTTAAACTCTCTAGATTTTAATTTGAGTGATAGTCAAATAGTTGAGATAGTTATTGGTGATATAACGGACACACATGTCAAAACAGCTGCTTTTAATAGTAGAGTTGATTCCATTTCGACCTTACTTAACTTGCTTAGCAACTATCAAATTAATAAACAAGACTCTCAGCTTCAAGTAGGGGCGCCCAAAACGCCCGAATCCGTTTAAACATAATGATGAGGGAAAAATATGTTATTCCTGTAAAAAAAAACCTGGTCATATCAGCCGGAATTGTTTTAAATCGCTTAAATTATTCAAATACGATAATACTAATAAGGCGAGAAGCTCAAATAATCTGCCAAGTATTGCGAAACCCTGTGAGATCTGTAAGAAATTCGGGCATAATTCTGAAAAATGCTTCTTCAAAAGTCAAAATAAAGCAGAGAAGTCGTCCAGATTCTCCAAAATAAACTATTTCTGCGTAGATCTAGATAATGACTTTTGCATAAAATTCAAAATACAAAATTTGACCGTAAACTGTTTGATCGACACGGGTGCAGAATGTAGTTTGCTATGCGAAAAAAAGTCGCCCATAAATTACACTGTCATTTCGAACCAACTTTCATAATGTTAAAGGGTGTAGGAGGCAACTCAATACCAAGTTGTCAAAGGGCTAATTTACTAGTTGAGAGAGAGAGGACGGCATTTGAAATTAGTTTTTATGTTGTCGAAACTTCTGTTATGGAATTAGATGCAATTTTGGGTAGAGATTTATTTAATCATAAAGGAATCAGAATTTGCACTGACTCATGTGGGTCTAGAATTTATCTCGATGACACAAATAACATAGAATCTAAAAAGATTCAAAACGTAACAATTTCTCCCGAGAAAATTCAAACACCACCGAATGGACATGATTTCGACGCCTTGTTGAAATTATTATCAAAATATAGCGATTCTATAACTATTGGTAATTCCGTGAGGGCGGTAACAACCGGTGAAATGGAAATCAAATTAAAAACCGATAAAATAATTTGTTATAACCCTTACCGAATGTCATTGTCCGAACGAGAAAAGGTAAAAGATACTATTGACGACCTCTTGCAAAACAATATCATACGTGAAAGCACGTCGCCTTTTGCTAGTCCAGTTATTCTGGTGTACAAAAAAGATGGCAGCCGACGTTTATGCGTAGACTATCGCGCCCTTAATGGAATAACCATTAAAGATCGGTTTCCATTGCCACGGATAGACGACCAAATTGATCAGCTGGGGGGAAGCAAGTATTTTACGACTCTCGATATGGCAGCGGGGTTTCATCAAATTCCTATGGCTGAAAACTCTATTTCCAAAACAGCTTTTGTCACGCTTGACGGGCATTTTGAATACCTGCGTTCACCATTTGGTCTATCGAATTCCACTGCAGTATTTCAACGGGCGATTTGTAAAGCTCTGGGTAAGCTCAAAGATACCGATGCGCTGGTTTATATGGACGACGTAATCATTCCATTAAAAACCCTTTCTGGACCTGAGACTTGTAAAAACCTAAAAATTTATTTAAATATTTTTGGGAACACTAAACGATTGATAAGTGATAGGGGAACTAATTTTAGCGACCAACAAGTAAAAGAGTTACTCTCAAAATTAAACATTACCCAACATCTAATTGCCAAAAGTGCCCCACGCGGAAATGGGCAGGTAGAGCGATACGTCTCAACAGTTCTAGACCTGCTCAGAGTAAATGTCAATAATAATAAGTCAGAATGGGCGAGCGTTCTCCCCAAGTTACAACTGACCCTTAATACTACTATCCAAAAAACCACGGGATTTTCCCCGCTCTATTTGTTAACAGGGCAACTTATGGATACCATGGACATTCAGAATTTAACAGAGAGTATAAAACCAGTGACGACTACTGATCAAAATTTAATTAATGATCGTAAAACTGCCTACGAACGCTCTCTGCGTTGCGGTTTAGAGTCAAAAGACAGATTTGATAAAAGCCGAAAAACAACTAACAGTTTTAAAGTAGGAGACATAGTTTTCCATCCATCTGGAAATTCGCACCTAGCTAAACTAGACCCTAGATACGAAGGTCCATTCGAAATCTTACAGTTGTTGCCTAATGACCGAGTAGAAATTAAAAATTTGGCGACCAATCGCAAAAGAATTGTTGCTAATGATATGATGCGGGTATGGCCAGGTGAATTTGAATAAGATAACATTTAATAACCATTGTTATTTGTTTATCCCTTTTTGTACATTCTTATGTTGGTATTATGAGAATGTTTATGTTATATTTAGAGACACGAATAATGATTATGATTTACGTTGTTGTTATTATAAAGTATTTGTTAGGCTATAACCGTGTGAGCCTTGATATTACAAGAACCTGACAAAATAAATTAATGAAAAAAAAAAAAAGTTTTGGGTTGAAAGACGTGATCTTTGCATCAAGGTAATGAGACCTTGATTGCTGAAATGACGTGCTCTTTACCTTGCTGGATCATAAAATCTTGCTACTTGTTGAAAGACGTGCTCTTTGCGACAAGGTCATTAGGACTTGATCGTTGAAATGACGTGCTCTTTGCAATAGTGAGTGATGTATCGTTAAAAGCTGAAAGACGTGCTCTTTGCGTTTAGATCGTGAGGGTCTAAACGTTGAAATGACGTGCTCTTTGCTACATTATATAGTCTAAATGGTGTTCTTGTAACATGGGTCAGGGGGTAAAATTCGAGAACGAATTTAGTGTCAGGATTGGCCGTGTGAGCCTTTCGCTGAATCGCTACGCTACGCCATCGAATATGTTTTGTCTATTGAATATGTTTTGTCTATTGAATATGTTTTGTTTACTTCTGGCGACCGTAAATATTCCGGTGTGCTGCGATGTGTTTTTGTGGGCAAGGTGGTTAGTCATAGTCAGTCTTGTAACAGATGCTGGAGTGAATACATGTGATACAAGTTATGAAGTGTTTGATTTTCCCTAAGAAAATGATAATTTTCTCAAATCTATTTTTAGAAAAATGACTTGAGTGCCTCCCATATTCAACCGACTCATAACATGCACTACCTTAGGATTACATTAATTATCTGCAATCGTACCAATTCATCATCATTTATTTCTGATTTATCGTATACTGGTCCGCAGACCCTAAGACACACAGTCCTCCACTTAGGCAATTTTAAGCACACAGCACCCTATGTTGATACCCACTCGTATAGACAGATATGCTGAGACTTTGGTGGGAATTTTTTAAAGAAGAAAATAAGAATGTATTTTCAGTATCTATACCAGATGTTTTAAAATTCCTAACATTGTATTTTAATGAAGGTGCTTCTTATGGCACCTTAAATTCATATAAATGTGCAATAGGTCAGATAGCAGGGTCAGGTTTCGCAAATGATTTTAGGCTTAAAAGATTTTTCAAAGGGATTTTTAATTTGCGACCCAATGAGGCCAAGTACAATACAACCCGGGACCCCTGTATCGTCCTTAGCTACATAAAAACTTTTCCTAAGGACATTTCCTTACAACAATTAACTTATAAATTAGCAGCGCTTTTGGCTCTCAGTACAGGACAACGGGTACAAACGTTGGCTAGTATTGGAATCTCCAATATAGTGATAGCTGAGGATGGCATCACCATCAAGATTCCTAAGCGACTTAAAACTTCTGGTTTAAATAGATTGCAGCCAACTCTAGTTCTGCCCTTTTACAAGACAGATCCTTCATTATGTGTAGCCAAGTGCTTAATTCAATATTTAAAAGAAACGGCGAAATTAAGAGACACCCACTGCAACTTATTATTTATTACCTTTAAGAAGCCTTTTAAAAATGCAAAATCTAGCTCAATCAGTAGATGGATAAAAGAAGTTCTTAAAAATAGCGGCCTTGATACATCCATATTTACTGCCCATAGTACACGACATGCAGCCACATCTGCCGCGGCTCGCAAGGGAGTTAGTATGGATGTAATTAGGCTAGCAGCAGGATGGACTGACAAATCAAAGACATTTGCCAATTTCTATCAACGCCCTTTGATAAAAAAGTCTAATTTTGCCGAGGCTGTTTTGGGCTCATAGTTTCTGAGAAATTACATTATCTAGATAAGTTCAATGTTGTTTCTCTATTTATACTTATGTATTTAGATTTAGGTTATAGAATTAACCTTTTTCTTGTTTCCTTCAGTTAATGGTTAACAGTTCGTTTTGTTCCAAGTTTGTATATTTTCGTTTTTCAGAAAATAAACTTTAAGAATATTTATAATTGTTACTAAATTCTTTAAACATCTACAGTATTCTTAATTACGAGACGAGGCGGAATATAATTAGCAGATCAAACGAACTTACCTATAGAGAAGTTCGATCTGAATTATATGAAGTCTCGTCGAAGTAATTAAGTCCCTCCCGAACCAGCCCTAAGCATACAATTATAAATATTTGGTTTGCTTTAAAAAGAATGACCTAGTTCGCCGGAGTCGGGGATCAGCGGAGTGCAGGGAATCGAAAAATCGATATCTTCAAAATGCGTGTGGTTGGATAGGAAGTGGAAGTTACTACAGTATTCTTAATTACTTCGACGAGGCTTCATATAATTCAGATCGAACTTCACTACAGGTAAGTTCGTTTGATCTGTTAATTCTAAAACGCTTCCTAGACTTTCATATATTTCGCCTGTCGGCGCTGACGGTCAGCGGCCGGTCAGCGTGACTCTAGCCTAAAGCGCAGCAGATTTATATACAGGGGGATAACTTGTACCCTGTTAAGTACTCCTACCACATATGAGCCTTATATGGGGTTGTCCAAAACGGATGCAGGAAAGTAAACGCATATTAAAACAAGAAAGATTGATATTCAAATCAAGTTGGGTACTTTATTTTGAAGGTTCATTTATGTATGAAAAATAATATCGCTCAAATGTTCACCACGACTGGATTTACAGACGTCCACGCGATGGTCGAAATTTTCAATGACATTTTGCAACATGGTCGGTTCTATGGCATTTATCTCGGCAATGATGTTGTTTTTGAGTTCTTGGAGGGTGGCTGGTTTGTTGACGTAGACTTTCCTTTTCAAATATCCCCATAAAAAGAAGTCCAAGGGAGTCAAATCGCACGATCTTGGTGGCCATGACAAATTTCCTCTGCGCGAAATCACGCGATCACCGAAGAAGGACTGCAATCGATGGATATTGACGTTGGTTGTGTGGCATGTTGCACCGTCTTGTTGGAAATAAACATCGTCCATATCCATTCCTTCAAGTTGCGGCAAAAAAATAGTCCTCTATCATTACGTGATATCGCTCAGAATTGACGGTAACGGCGTCCCCGTCCGCATTTTCGAAAAAGTAAGGTCCGATGATGCCTTTTGACCACAATGCACACCACACAGTCATTTTTTGAGGATGCATCGGCTGCTCTTGATACTCACGGGGATTTTCGTTCGCCCAGATGCGGCAGTTTTGCTTGTTTACCGTCCCATTCAAAGTGAAATGCGCTTCGTCGCTGAACATGATTTTTGATGAAAAATTGGCATCAATTTGGCGGTGTTCAAGGAGCCAATCTGAGAACGTTCGGCGCGAAAAATGGTCTACCCGACGCAGCGCTTGCGTCAATGGGATCTTGTAGGCGTGTACATACATTCAAATCCTTGTGGAGAATGCGGAGCAAACTGGTTCTCGAAATGCCCAATTCTTGGGATCGACGCGTTGTTGATTGTTTCGGATCGTCTCTCACACTCTCCTTCACAATAGCAATACTTTCCAGTGTGCGAACGCTCCTTGGCCGGCCAGAGCCTGGCAGATTTGCCACAGAACCTGTTGCCTCGAATTTACGCACCAGACGACCGATGGTTGTTTCGTTTGGGCGGTTGTTGCGACCGAAATGTTCACGAAGCGCGCGAAACGTGTTTTTTATTTTTGCACCATTTTTGTAGTGCTCTTGAATAACTTTAATGCGGTCTTCAATCGAACACGACTCCATAGCGATCAATGGTAAACATTCAACTAACAAAATGACATTTCGGTGACAGAAAACAAAGATGGCGTCTATGTCAAATTGACGTTTACTTTCCTGCGTCCCTATTGGACAACCCTTTATATAAGGTCGCCCGTCAAGGATAAAGGAGTAAAAAAAAGTGATCACCTGAAATTCTCTAGCGCGTCAGATTAAGATAGGGTGAGTTGGTTACATGCTAAAACGTGTATATTTCACTAATCTGATAATATGAGAGTGACGTAAAAATGGGGGAAGGCTACAAAGTTGTAAAAGAAAACGTCATCCAGACATTCTAGCGCGTGGCAAAACTTTTTTCATTTTGAAGCCGAAGTAACAAAAATTCATCGATAAAAATTAATACGTGCAGCTATATAGCCTATATTCCCCTCTTCGCGTTTCTATCTCTCTCACTCTTTCTTTATATCTTACTCTCTAACTCCGTCCCCACTCTGGTTTCGGTTGCCATGACGCCATGACAGCTGATCACACAGACTCGTTCGTGGCATGATATTGTTTACAACGTATTTCCAAGGTTTTTACGTATTTTGTGATTTTGATATAAGTTACATGAATTAAAGTTTATAAATATTTACTATGAGTGATATTAATGTAAAGTGTCTACTTGTATATAAAATATTTACTAATAATAATATTTGTGGTGAAACAACATTGCAAAAAACAATTAAATTTACATTAGAAACATTACAAAAATCTATAAGTATTTTAGAATATCGTCGGAACAAACCGTATTTACAAGAACAGCAAAATGCAGTGGAATATGACAATGTATCGGAAGTTTCTGGGAATAGCTCCAAATCACATGCTCCTATTTCTGGAGAGTGCTCGGAGTCACGAGTTGCTGTTTCTGGAGAGTGCTCCGAATTACATGCTACTGTTGATTCCACGTCTACTGAGGCTGTTGGTACATTGACAGACTTGTAAGTGCTAATAATGCCTTCATATAGTAAATATCTCAAAAAAAAATTTTCATAGAATAAATTTCTTGGTAAAAATTTGTAAACCAAAAAATCATTATTTTAAAGGTACAACGTTAATGTAGGATACGAATGAGATATGATAACAATGGAATATAACGATAAACGTGAAAACCACAAACCCATCTTAGAAGGTTTCGAAGTACTACCCTGTACCTTTTCACTTTTATTACGAGAGTAGTACATATACAACTTAACATGGGCTTCAATATCAGGATAATTTCAAAGCCACTTACTTGGTGATGTAACGACAGAGGAGTTGTTCTTCCTTGGCGTGAGATACGGTCGCTAGAACTGGGTTGTCGGGCCAAACCTATTTTTAAGAAAAACCTTTTGAGTACCTTCCATAGTCTACCGACTCATGACATGCACAACTCTACTGTCTATTCATCAGGTTAATTAGCTGTCTCGATACTGATCACAAAACAATATAATGATGGCCAAATTACTATACATTGCATGGGGGTACGGTAGCATCCTAACGCATTGAAGTAACGCCCGTGTCCATGATCAGGGGAACGGTAGCTTCCTACCGCATTGAAGTCACGCCCGATATGGAAACCTTAATAATCTGGTGCTTAGACAGATTTGCCAAGTATTTGATTGTCATGAAAAGCAGCCCAGAAACCAGGATATGACGTTGCCGAGCAGCGTGACAACTTTAAGTAACAATCCCTATACACATCTTGCCATGAGATACTTCCAGACTCCTGCGATTGCCTCGAGAAGAACCTAGGCGGTCATACAGACCCAGGATACCACGCCGGCCAATGGCCGTTGTGTCAATACCCAATACGCTACGACATTTCCGCTGACAGAGGAAACCGAGCAGTAATTCCTCCGATGGCAACCCGGCTCTGTAGTCTGTAGGTCTCATAACAGCCTCCAGGATATGGAGAAGTCACACCTCTGTAGATGTTTGACTCTAAGTTACCTTTAACTTTATCTTAACTGCTGATAAACATATCTCATCTGACTAGCTTTAACTTATTACAATTATTATTGTAAGCTTACGAAATATCTCAAACGCTTTTTTTTTATTTTTTGCATGCGAGCCAACCCTGTAGCACACGAAAACTTTCCAGAAGTTACACAAGGCAGCTTAGTGTGACTCAACGCGACAGCCCTTACGCCTGTTTACATTATACATTCCATTCCTTCGCTGGGTACCTGCTCCCAGGATAAACTTTGTTAGTCTGGCGTAGATGCATTTCAATTATCGCGTGGATCACATCGCTTCTCAGTCCAAGTAGAGTGAACTTCATTACGGTGTTGATGTGCTATTGGGTGTGGTGTTTTAGTTACCTGAAAGGTGAGCTATCACTGAGTGTTTCCTTTATTCTACTGTACTGCATGGATTGATAACCATAGTAGTTTCATATTCATGATCATGAATGTCTTAAGCCATGTTTATAAAGATGCTATACTTTTTACCTTCATAATTTAACTTATGGCTTACGACTTGTTATTGAATATCCGCAGGTGGGACGCCTCCAGGTTCTGGGGGTTGTTATGGGACTTTCGGAGCCCGTTTGCTGGGTTGAGGTAGTTATGTAACTTACTGCTCGGTTTCCTCTACCAGGGGAAATGTCGGAGCGCTTTGGATGTTGACACGATGGCCTTTGGTCGAAGTGGCATCCTTGGTCTTAATGACCGCTTAACTATCTTCACTTGGCAATCGTTGGAGTCTGAATGTATCTCATGGCAGGATGTGTGCAGGGATTGTTACTTTAATGATAGTCATATTGCTCGGTTACCTCTGATTCAGGGGTAATGTCGGAGATTTGGGGTATTGACACAACGGCCTTGGTCGGCGTGATATCCCGGTTCCTGGACTGTCTTTTTGGTAACAATCGTTAAACTCGGCACGTCTGACCATACACCTAGCGACCAAAGAGTTATATTGAGTCTGTCGTGATGACTCCTATTGAGTCTGTGTGATGACTCCTATTAAGTCTGTCGTGATGACTTAACGACCAGTCTGTCGTGATGACGGTCAGGATCAGTCTGTCGTGATGACGGTCCCGTGATTCAGTCGATGACGAATCCGTAATAGTAGTTGGGGTACATTAATGTAATGGTAGATAGTAGATTTGTGCATGTGTTGTCATGAGTCGGTTGAATACGGGAGATACTCATAAGTCTTTTTCTAAAAATAGGTGTTGGCCCCGACAATCCGATCATATCGCCCTTATCGCTTGCCAAAGGAGGATAACTCGTTGTCGTTTCGTCACCAAGTAAGTGACTTTAATACTACCCTGACAGTGTTGCCCATATCGAATTGTTTACGTACTGCCCATGCAGTAAAAATGTAATGGTACGGGGCGGTACTTCGAAATCTTCTAAGATGAGATGTTTTCACGTTTATCGTTATATTGCTATTATCATATTATCAATTTCGTATCCTACATATTTTCTCAGAAGTGGGATCTGACACTTATGTGCCTGGATCTGACACTTATGTGCCTGGATCTGACACTTATGTGCCTGGATCTGACACTTATGTGCCTGGATCTGACACTTATGTGCCTAGATCTGATGGATAGGGGCTTCTGATGTTGTTGGTATTTGGTCAAATGTCAGGATTGTCTTGTAAATACAAAGAAGCAAAGTCTTATGGGAAACTCTTGATACCTCGTACTTCTTCATATTTTTGTCTCATATGGATTTGAGCATCTGGTTGTCAAATATTCGAAGTCTGATCATGGTCTCAAAAATATTCCGTTCATCGTCAATGGGTAACGCCTACCCTGAAGAATCTCGAGATATCGAAAACAGTTTGCTGTCAAGTACTGTCATAAAATAGATAAGCCTCGCACTCTATTCGGCTGATCTATACAGGCCTTGCATTATGAGTCCCCTGAAGTTGACAGCTGTTTATTAGAAAAATAGTAAAAATCTAATAAGTCGTGGCCTAATTGCCTACTAAATATAACAGTCCCTTTTCGCTTGCTTGAAGCCAAGCAGGTAGATTTTTAGTCGTGTGAACATACCCCGGGTTAAAACAGAAAACAGATGTTGATAAAAGGTCGTTATCGTTATCTGAGTCGCAAGAAAGGACACTCTACTTAGAGTTTTACAGAAAAGGCAATGTTTGTTATTTTGGCGACAAGAGTGCACTTATAAGGGTTTGCAGGTCAAAATAGGAAACAATAACCAGCGGGTGGTTAGAGTTTGACTAATTGCAAGAGATGTCGATGGTGGTATCCCGAAAATAGGTTTTATTGGGCAATGAAAGTGGGCGGTTGCCCACAAACAGGTTATGTAATTTTGGTCACCCTTGTTTCATCATTACTTTCGATGTGGTGACAGACTGGTGCATTTCCTATAACCTTTCGGGAGTGGCCATACTGAAGGATTATGTAAATGTTTTGACCCAGTTCATAATTTTTGTCACTTAAGCATTGAGAATAATGGTGTGACGTGGGTATAAAAACCCTTGTGGTACCAAAGTTACGTTAGAAATACATTTTACTTGTTGGAAAACCCTTCACTTCTGAAGATGTTGCAAATAAGTTGCTTTTCACTATAGGCAGGTTCCTTTGTAACTCTAAAGGTATCCATCTAGGAACAATTCGAGTCCTGCACATCCTTTGTTGTCTTGGCATTCTATGTGAATTTAGAGAGGTTTTCTCAGTCTGTCTAATAACTTCATGATATTGTGATGGTGGATTATTGCCAGCTAAGGTAGTCGGCGAAACGATGGAGATACCCAGAGAGTTTTGGAAATTTATTGATATAAAAGCCTCACGTCTATATTCAAAGTGATCTGATTTCCTGAGGAGATCATTTATATTTCGAGGGTCTCAAATAAAGAGGAGGATTTCACGGTTGGATCCATATCGGAAGTTTGGCTAGGAAACTTGGTTAGCTTGCCGAATCAATATCGCGGCTGTTTTGCTCAGTCGATGGCTGAACTCAGTGAGTCCGCTGAAATGACGATACAGCTTAAAGAGAAAAAGCATTCACGTATCGGGCTTACCAAATGGCTCACTCAGAGCTAGAGGCTGTGGAGGAGATAGTCGATGATATTCTGAGCGTGGAAGTCATATGAGCATGAGACGCAAACTATGCATCCTCGGTTCTTCTGATGAAGAAGAAAAATGAAGATCGAAGGAAGGTTATGTATCGACTATCGCCGTTTGTGTGTGATAGAAATTAAGGACAGTCACCTCTTGCCAACAATTGACGATCAAGTCGACAGTCTCCGTGACGAGATCTATTTCACCAGTCTAGATCTCAGGTTCGGATACTACCAAATCCCTATGGAGGAGGAATCATGGCCATACACAGCGTTTGTCACTCCGGGAGACATTGCAGCTGTATATCTTGATGATGTATTGCTGCATGCTAAGACTGCGGAGGAAGCATTAGAGGGTATAAAAAAAGGTTTTGGAAAACTTTCGAGAGGAAGGCCTCACTTTGAACTTGAAGAAATGTGCTTTTCTGATGAGATCAGTTACATTTCTGGGTTTCCAAATCGAGGATGGAAAGGTCAAACCCGGCGAGGAGAAGACAAAAGCGGTGGAGAGTTTTTGTCAACCAAGAACTGTACACCAAGTCCGACAGTTCCTTGGACTAACAGAATACTTCAGGCATTTTGTAAAGGACTACGCTATCGTAGCTAAACCCCTCACAAATCTTCTCAGAAAGAGTGTGTCTTGGCGATGGGGCGAGCAGGAAGAAGGCTCATTTAGGAAGTTGCAGAGCAACTTAGTGAGTCGGCCAGTTTTGGCTTTGTATGACGCAGCCGCTGCGACTGAAGTTCATTGCGACGCAAGTATGCTGGGCGTTGCAGAAATACTCTTGCAAATGCAGCCCGATGAGCGGCTACACCCAGTGGCGTACTACAGTAGACAAACCACCGATGGTGAGCAGAAGTACCACTCATATGAGTTGGAAACTCTGGCGGTGGTTGAAAGTTTGAAAAAGTTCCGGGTATATCTGCTAGGGGTTCATTTTATAGTAGTGACTGACTGTAATGCATTGAAGGCCACCAGTGTAAAGAAGCAAATAATACCCAGAATTGCTAGGTGGTGGTTGCAACTACAGGAGTTTGACTTTGAAGTGAAGTACAGACCTCGAATGGCACACGTGGATTGTCTAAGTAGAAATCCAGTCGGTTGTGCTGACGAGGCTGCCGAAACGGAAACGGTGTTCCGAGTTGATCAGGCTGATTGGGTATTATCTGGACAGCTTACCGACGAGAAGATCAAGCGAATTCACGATATCTTGTCCAGACCGCCTACGTCGAACGAGGAAAAGCAAGTCTACAAGGACTATGCTTTGAGGGACGGACGAGTATATCGTGTTACGGTTCGAGGTATTCAATGGGTTGTGCCACGAGGTATGCGTCATCAAGTAGTGAAAGCGGCTCATGATGATTTTTTTTCACTTTGCCGTGGACAAAACATTTTATCGTTTAACGGATCACTACTGGTTTCCAAGGATGAGGAAGTATGCGGAGAAATATATTTCTTGCTGCATCCCATGCCTGTATAACAAGAAACCAGCTGGTAGAAAGGAAGGGTTCTTGCACCCGATTCCGAAAACTCCAACTCCTTTCTTCACGGTGCACGTTGACCACATGGGACCATTCCCAAAGAGTAGGAAAGGCAATTGTCACATTTTAGCGATAATTGATGGGTTCACGAAATTTGTCGCACTGAAGGCCGTAAAGTCGACAAAGACTAAATATGTCACATCGCAACATATGGAGTACCTAGAGTACTAATCAGTGATCAAGGAAGCTCGTTTACAGCCAAGAAATTCAGAGATTTCTGCCATCAGAACAATATCAAACATATTCTGAATGCTGTAGCGACGCCCAGGGCAAACGGACAAGTAGAGCGGTTAAATCGGACGTTGCTGAACGCTTTACTTACATCGACGTTGGAGGAAGACCTGTGGGACAGAGAACTTCCAAATGTTCAGTTTGCCATAAACAACGTCCCAAATAAGTCTACAGGGAAAACTCCAAGTCAACTTTTATTTGGTTATGGACCTCGAAAAGGTGTGGATATGGTTCTAAAGGACGAAGTTAGTCAAGTCCACATACTCCTCGAAGACCTTGTTGCCACAAGGGAGAGAGCTGCCCGAAAAATAGAGGCAGCTCAACAGAAACAAAAAGCCAGTTTTGACAAGAAGCGGAAGGCTCCGCGGAAATATAGACCAGGCGTTTTAGTCTTGGTCGAAAAGCAGAATCATGCTACGGGGGCGAGTCGGAAATTACAGTCACCTTATAGCGGTCCATTGGTTGTTAAAGCGGCTTTGCCTAACGATAGGTATGTTGTATCGGACATGGGGGGATCGCACCGTACCGGGAGAAAGGCGAATTATGAAAGGACGGTTGCGGTGGACAGGATGAAACCTTGGTGTACACCAGGAGGTGTTTCGGACGACACGGGTAGCGAAAGTGGTGACGATGGGGTCCCACTTCCAGCGTCGTCGGGCAGCGAATGATCACCTCGGGGCGAGGTGAATGTCGGATGGCCGAATGTAAGCTTACGAAATATCTCAAACGCTTTTTTTTTATTTTTTGCATGCGAGCCAACCCTGTAGCACACGAAAACTTTCCAGAAGTTACACAAGGCAGCTTAGTGTGACTCAACGCGACAGCCCTTACGCCTGTTTACATTATACATTCCATTCCTTCGCTGGGTACCTGCTCCCAGGATAAACTTTGTTAGTCTGGCGTAGATGCATTTCAATTATCGCGTGGATCACATCGCTTCTCAGTCCAAGTAGAGTGAACTTCATTACGGTGTTGATGTGCTATTGGGTGTGGTGTTTTAGTTACCTGAAAGGTGAGCTATCACTGAGTGTTTCCTTTATTCTACTGTACTGCATGGATTGATAACCATAGTAGTTTCATATTCATGATCATGAATGTCTTAAGCCATGTTTATAAAGATGCTATACTTTTTACCTTCATAATTTAACTTATGGCTTACGACTTGTTATTGAATATCCGCAGGTGGGACGCCTCCAGGTTCTGGGGGTTGTTATGGGACTTTCGGAGCCCGTTTGCTGGGTTGAGGTAGTTATGTAACTTACTGCTCGGTTTCCTCTACCAGGGGAAATGTCGGAGCGCTTTGGATGTTGACACGATGGCCTTTGGTCGAAGTGGCATCCTTGGTCTTAATGACCGCTTAACTATCTTCACTTGGCAATCGTTGGAGTCTGAATGTATCTCATGGCAGGATGTGTGCAGGGATTGTTACTTTAATGATAGTCATATTGCTCGGTTACCTCTGATTCAGGGGTAATGTCGGAGATTTGGGGTATTGACACAACGGCCTTGGTCGGCGTGATATCCCGGTTCCTGGACTGTCTTTTTGGTAACAATCGTTAAACTCGGCACGTCTGACCATACACCTAGCGACCAAAGAGTTATATTGAGTCTGTCGTGATGACTCCTATTGAGTCTGTGTGATGACTCCTATTAAGTCTGTCGTGATGACTTAACGACCAGTCTGTCGTGATGACGGTCAGGATCAGTCTGTCGTGATGACGGTCCCGTGATTCAGTCGATGACGAATCCGTAATAGTAGTTGGGGTACATTAATGTAATGGTAGATAGTAGATTTGTGCATGTGTTGTCATGAGTCGGTTGAATACGGGAGATACTCATAAGTCTTTTTCTAAAAATAGGTGTTGGCCCCGACAATCCGATCATATCGCCCTTATCGCTTGCCAAAGAAGGATAACTCGTTGTCGTTTCGTCACCAAGTAAGTGACTTTAATACTACCCTGACAGTGTTGCCCATATCGAATTGTTTACGTACTGCCCATGCAGTAAAAATGTAATGGTACGGGCCGGTACTTCGAAATCTTCTAAGATGAGATGTTTTCACGTTTATCGTTATATTGCTATTATCATATTATCAATTTCGTATCCTACATTATCATGATTATAAGGGTACCATGGTTAGAAAATACACATGACATGCAATACAGCAAAACAATAAAAGATACTCAGTGAAAGCCCTCACCGTTTGATTGATCGAACCTTGACCTGAACTTGATATGGACACTATTCACAAAATCGCAACACACAGACACTTCCACCTTTCAACTGTTAGAACAATATTAGAATGAACTAAGAGGGCCTATGCCTCAGCGTGCCCTTGGATTCACGAATACGCAGTGCCTTTCTTAGCATTCCAAGTGTCAAGCGATACTTTTACAGGGTGACTCGCATGCAGAAAAGTGTCTAAAATATTGTGTATGCTTACATTAATTATTTGTTGCATCAACAAAACTATTAAAGCCGCTATAAGAATCTATTTTTTTACCAATATTTTAATTTCATGTTATAATCATCAGCTTTCTTATATTATTGTTCAACAATTTGCCGAGCAGGAGAATACAGCAATATTCAAGGAGACTGAGGATTTAAACGATTCATTCAATACTGCCTGTCGCTCATAACGATTCAGCATCGCAAACGTGCTTCATTTGCGAAAAACAACGTAAACGGTGAAATTCGCTTAGCTGTCAATAGACACTATAGAGAATTGAAAAAACGCGGCCATGGAAAAAAATTATATATCGATGTTGGAAAAACTTAGTTCTTTCTCCTATGATTCCTTATTCCTTACCATAAATGCTGCAAGGATGAAAGTAGCGAATTTCTAAGTAAAAACAAGGTTTACAATACTGCGTATAGTATTCTTTGTGATATGCTGAAAGAAAAAGCGGTCAAAAATAATGAATGCTTGTTCGTTGACTACATGAAAAAAGAATATCAAAAATTGCTAGAACAGCAATGCAGGTTATAGTGTAGTTCTATTACTATTTCTTCGTTCTCAGACCGTCTTTAGAAAGAAAATCAATGGAAACTTTTGACAAAAAGATTAAAATTATTTACGCTGAGAAGAAAAAGTTTCTTGCTCCATTTTCCGCCACTCTTTTGACTTACAAGGATGTATTTAAAACGATGGCAGTAAAAGAAACAATTCGTTCAGTTGCAACACAACTTCGCGGAGAAATTCTTAACTCAAACAAAAGAGAATTGCCTGAAAATTGTACGGCTGAAGATTTGATGATTGGAGAATGCGATAACGTGCTAGAGCTTTTTACTTGCTATTTGGAATCATTGATTTGGGGCGATGTTTCTCACATATCCAAAAAAAGCTGGTGAAAATAGAAAAAACAGGAACGGACTTTCTATTTTTTCGATTAGACAAGCTTGTGGTTACAGAATAAAAACATCTTAACGTATAGTCAACGCCAAACAAAGTGGCGTGCACGTCATCACGATAAAAATTCCCCGACCTAATGCCTAGGTTTCTATCACAAACAATTGCTCTATTGCAGTTTCATATTAATGTGATATATAAATTGTAAAATGGTCATTACTCTCTTATTATGGTTAATAGTCATATAAACATTGTTATTAAAATATCACATAAGTTGCTTTCTGATAAATTTAGACGCATTATGCGAAATAAAATGTTTTGCAAACGCTCCAATCACTTATCGACATGTAAACGCACTAAACCGATTTCGCAGCGTTGACACATTGTCACCTTGAAACTTATTTAAACTGGGAACTGACATTTGTATTAATTTTGACACTGAATCAATTTGTGGCATTTCAAATCTTTATAAATCCTTTGGCCCCGCATACTGTAAATCAACAACTGTTTGTTTCAAAACAAAATTATTCATTTTACGAGTAGATAAAGGCAATTTTGGTATATAAAGATGCCCAAACAGTTAAATAGTCGGTGTAAGGAACTCGTGGCCTCGTTAATGCACTACTTTGAGCAAGAAAGGGACAACAACGGGCCTTTGTTGCCTTTAAATGCTGTTCAAGAGGTAGGTTTCTAATAATTATATGTAATGTATATTAATAATAGTGAAATTTTATTTCATTTTTTGTAGCGTGTTGCTGCTGCTTTAAAAATTAGTTTAAGGACAGTTAGTCGTATTTCCGAGGGTGTGAAAATTGATGCAAATTTAGAATCGCCCAAGAAAAAGCGGAGTTATATTAAACGTGTAACCAACACAGCGACATTGGATACAAGTGTCATTCGAGAAGTGATCTATAATATGTATCACAAAAGTAAGATCTTATTATAATAACTTATCAGAAATTTGCATTAATTTGTTAACTAAATTATAATGTCATATTACACATGGTTTCAGAAGAACAAGTTACGATACAAACTGTATGGTCTCGATTAAGAGATAGGGCATTATTTGATGGTAGTGCCACGTCTTTAAGGCGGTTGCTTAGAGATCTTGGATTTAAGTGGCTTAAGGACAATCCGCGACGAGGGCTCATGGAACTACCAAGTATAGCTTTGAAAAGGGTGGAATTTCTAAGGCAATACAATCAAGCGAAGGTTGAGGCCTTATACCAGTTTGTCTTCCTCGATGAAACTTGGATATTTCAAAATGGGACCATAGGTCGCTCTTGGCAAAATGGAAACCAAAAAAGCGTGAAAGCTATTAAAACAGATGGTAAAAGGTATGTACTTTTACACAATTTGCACTATAAAATTTAAAACTAATATATTTTAGATACATTATATTACATGCTGGAATTGAAAATGGGTTTATTGAGGGTAGTGAAGCGATATTTTCTTCGAAAACAAAATTGAGCGATTACCATAGAGAGATGAACCAGGACAATTTTGTGAAATGGTTTCAACATCAGTTATTAGAAAAATTGGAGAGTCCATCTATGATTATACTGGATAACGCCCCTTATCACAGCATGATATTGAACAAAGTGCCCAGCAATGCATGGACAAAAAAAAATATCCAAGACTGGTTGACAAATCAAAACATACCATTTTTAAACACAATGTTTAAAACAGAGCTATTGAGTATTGTTGCTCGGTACATAATGCTTCTTAATTATATATATTTTGGTCGACAGTTTATATTTCTTTTGTTTATTCCTATTCTTAAAATAACTGCTTTTTTAGAAACAAACCACCTAAAATATACGTGATTGATGAATTGGCGGAACAACATGGGCACAAAGTTCTTCGTCTGCCTCCTTACCATTGTATATTTAACACTATTGAGTTAATTTGGGGCATAGCAAAAGGTTACTATAACAGACATATTGGTAGAGATGGTAACAGTGAAAAAGACTGTTTGGATATGTGGAACGAGGCTCTACAAACGGTTACCCCAGACATGTGGAAAAATAGTGTTCGACATACTGAGCAAGAAATTTTTAAATGGTATGAAAGAGAACGAATTTTTGATCGACCAGACATCGAACCTTTAATAATCAACTTTGAGAGTGATGAAGATTCAGATTCAGACAGCGCTGAAGAAAGAAACTCCGACTAACTTTACTGTACAGAAAAAGCTTACACCAGTAGCTTACCTAATTTTAGAATGCATTTTTCTGTATGAATTCTGTAAAATAAATACCATGCATAAAATTTGGAGGACCCCATTTGGATTTTTATTCAGTACCTTTAAGCTATCAATTAAATATGGTAGTTTCATAGTGTCATCTGATCAATAATTGTCATACTTAATGATTATGCAAGTACAGATCTATAATTTTATTATACTATTATTTTTGTTCTCATTTGAGGTTAATATTGCTTATAAACCTAGATATGTAAATAATAAATTTTATTATTTTACAAAAAGTTTGGCAACAATGTAAATTTTTCAACACACCCACCTTGATGACGTGCACGCCACTTTGTTTGGCGTTGACTATACAACACTAGGTCTGGCAGTGAAGAGCTTATGCAACAGTAAGAAAATTATTAACATACTGTCAAAATATGGACACTTACACAACTCCAGAAGAGTTAGAGACTGAGCTGACATTTTCAACGGTAAATAGTGCTCACGTGTGTCCTGAAGATACTCTACGTCGCTCAGACTTGAATACTGTCGCATTCGACAATTTTGATCGCTTCGGTCAAACACTAAACGGCAAAGATACTCTGCATGATACGGTGAGTATAATTTTTCAGGATATCGTGCAAATTCCAGATCCGGTGTATGTAGAATCTTCTAGCCGTAGTGTGCATGATAATTCAACAATCGATGAGATTGTGCGTGGTAGTTTTTCTGAATCATCCGTTACCACCACAAAAACAAAAAAAAACGTAAACGCAGGGCTTTTGAAGAAGTTACTTTTGAAATGCCCCATTCACCAAGAAATGAAAAATGACCACCTGGAGTCAGCTAGAAATCTCAGAGCCTAATAAAGCTCCAGACAGTATGACTAAGTCGAAACAGCAGGACGTTACGTGGATGTTATTACATAAGTGTAAAATATTGGATGTTCCGATGTGGGTTTTAGATAGACGATTCACGAGTTCAAAACGTTTCATATCTAACTCCCATAAATGAATCTCCCACCATCAATTCAACTGTTTTGAAAACTCTAGAACTGAGTCAGAATATTGCAAATGAATGCCAAGCTCCCTATATGCAAATCACCTATGATCTAGTTATTGCTCGCACTAATTATTGTATTCAAGCTCAAGAATCTCCAAGATTAGATAGTATGTTTATTCTTTTAGGGGCCTTTCATATTGAAATGGCTTCTTTCAAGGCAGTTGGCACTTTTATTGGAGATTGTGGACTGGGCAATATCATAACTGAATGTGAATTGATCGCTAATGGTTCAGTTTAAGGTTTTACTTGTGGAAACAATTACAACAGATGTAAACGGTTAAGGTACGTCCACACTGGAGCAACAGTTGGCAACTTGTAGCAATATTATGTTGCAACAAGTTGCTAAATGTTTAAAGTCATTAAAGATTGAGATAAAACAAACTGTCCTCACTAGTACAACAATGTTAATGAATGTTTGCACTTATTAACTGCTACCGCGGGCTTTCTAATTTTGTGTGGTGATTCACGAAAACGGAAGCGTAAATGTTGGGTCCGTCCAAGTTTGAAGAAAAGGGAAGAATATGGTGGACAGGAATTAATATCGGATTTAAAGAAAGATGACGTTTTATTAGAACTTCGAACCGATGGGTGCTTAAAAAATTTTTTGCGCATGAGTAGTTCAGATATGGAATTTTTGCTGAAAAAAATTGCACCAGTGATTAGAAAAGCAGATATAAACTGCAGAAAGGCTATACCTCCACAAGAACGATTAGCTGTAACATTGCGCTTTCTGGCAACTGGAGATTCCTACATCAGCTTGATGTATTTATTTAAGATTTCGAACCAAGCTATCTCAAAGATAGTACCAGAAGTATGTGCTGCGCTAGTAAACGCAAACTTTATTGCACTTTTTTTAATGATAAATTTACAACTTTTACATGTTACTTAATTGAAATGCCTCTGCGATAATGTTTGAAGAACCAAAAGCAGTAGAGGAGTCTGAAGAGTTTTATATGTATGTCTCCGCTGGCGATGTAGCTGATGTGCTGCAATATGACGAATGTGATTGTGGTCTCGTGAAAGGTTGCATTGATAAAATTGGCGCATGTGTGTCAGTTGATTGTTGCATTCCATAATCATATTTACCCATACTTGCATCGAACAAAATATTACTTATAAGATGTTCTACAATATTTTGTGCGCAGGTGGTATTCAAATCCCTAATTTTACAAGCCATATGTTCTCCAAATACATCGAATTTGTCTCGTTGTTGTTTATTTTGTATGTCTTTAATTATTGTATATGCCTCTTCTGTTCGAGCGTTATCATAGATTGTTCTTTTTTTAAGTGTTTGTGTGACACGTCTAGTTTTATTAGGGTGTTTAAATTCATCAAGATTTGTGATGTTCGGATTTTCCACGGTTTCCTTACGAGGCTCTTGAGAGGCTTTGTTTGATACCGAAGGCTCCTGACAATCAACGTTAGATGTTGATGGCTTTTGAGAACCATCGTTAGACAAGTCTTCCATGCCTTGGTTGCCATTTTCTACATCTTGAAATTCTTGGGTCTCTCTTCCACATTCATCACAGTCTGTGAATAATCCAAGTTTCGGAGGAAGAGCCATTCAGGTCCTCCTGAAAAGAAAAATACATTGTATTAAATGTAATTACAGTGATCTGCATCTTTAGCCTAAGTAATGTATATCTTTGTATTTCAGATGCCTAAAACTGCTCAAGAATGGGAAACAATTGCTAATGGTTTCAGTGCTGTTTGGAATTTTCCAAGATGTGTAGGCGTCATGGATGACAAGAATATTGCAATACAAGCACCAAAAAATAGTGGAAGTGATTTCTTGAATTACAAATCGTTTTTTAGCATCGTTCTGTTCGGCGTAATGGATGCTAATTACCGATTTTTGTATGTTCATGTAGGCACCCAAGGGAGAATATCTGATGGAGGAGCTTTCGAAAATACATCATACAAAAAACTATTAACTCGCTGCAAACTCAACCTTCCAGAATATAGCGCTTTACCAGGACGTGAGAAATTATTCCCTCACGTATTTTTAGGGAATGATGCCTTCCCATTATCGCCAAATTTACTGAAACCCTACCCTGGGGCTCAGGATAAAGGGTCTCCCAAGAGAATATTTAATTACCGTCTCAGTAGAGCGAGAATAATATCAGAAAATGTTTTTGGAATGTTATCTTCGATTTTTAGAATATTTAGAAAACCATTACTTTTAGAACCAGAAACTGCAGAAGTTGATGTTATGGCCTGCATTTACTTGCATAATTTTTTACGGAATAGTTCAGGATCTAAAGCTTCCTACAATCCCCCAGGTACATATGACGGTGAAGATAAAGATACAGGACGTGTTTTAGAAGGATCGTGGAGAAGAGAACCTCAGAGTAATACGTTTACTCCATACAAAAAAGTTGCACGAAACGCATCAACTGAAGCAAAAGATATTAGGCAAGAGTTTGCTGATTTTTTCGTTACACCTTTGGGGATGGTACCGTGGCAGAATAATTTTTGAATTATAATTCATCTATAAATTGAAATTGCCTATTTATGTGTTTGAATAATCAATAATAGAAAAGTTAATATGTAAAACATGGTGTGTTTACTTACCACGTTCTCGGCTTCAGTTTCCTTGCATGGGCGGACTTTGTTTTTGTCTGGAAGAAATAGTAATGCATTGTAGGCAAACCACTTGGAATGAAAGTGAGCGCCTGCTCCAGATTTTCTCATGCTGCGATATTTTTTTCGCCACCAAGTTACGGATTTTTCTTTTTGCCTCTTCCTGAGATAAGCACACTACAGCTGAACAAACTGCATTCCATGCATCATTTTTTGATTCTCTGCATTTATATTTAACATTTTTAGGATTCCAGATACATGGATTTTGTCTATAATTGTCAATTAAATTTAAACAATTCTCCGAAGTCCACTTAAACGTCATCACGAAAACCTAAACATTCAGACAAAGGCATTATTTATAATAAAATACAAAACAGAACACTGAGACGCGGCGGTGTCTAGTCACTCGATTTGCAACAGGTCTCAACTCGCAACAATCCGACCACATCGAAGCAATGTTGACAAATGTTTCACTTTGTTTCATATTATCCTTTGATCTTTACCGCTAAAAACGGATTTATGCAACATACTACAATTTATGTTAAATCGCAACACCAACTTTATGCAACGCAACACAACATACATGTATTCCAACAAATATAAACATTTTATGTTGTAACAAGCTTTTGTTGTATTATGTTGGAAAATGTTGCTCCAGTGTGGATGCGCCTTTACATTCTCTCATGGCTTTTGCATTGCACCAATTACATTTCGAAGCATTTTTAGAAAACAAACAATTGACAGTCGGGGAATGAATGCTAAAATATCTTACTACATTTTTGGCTCATAAAGATGTCTCTCCACAAGTTCAGCATGCAGGAACACAACGTCTCATGCAATCCGATGAGGAATATATAGAAGACACACTAAACGGCAAACACGGAAAACAGCGCAATTTTACGCGATGTACATCGATTTTGCCAAATAAGTTTTTTGTTTAAAAAAAACTTCTTTTTAAAATCTCTAATAAGATTTTATTCACCTAAGGACGTACAGGACTCAAAGACGTACAGAAATCGAATTGTTCTATCATCATATACTAAGTAACATATAAATCCGAACACCCAGTTTAAATGGTTTTATTTTAATAAAATTTTGTATAAGTACTTAATGAAGCATAATAAGTAAATGATAAAAATTTCAAAATGATTGCACTGCTTTAAAGACCTTTAATAATGTGTGGATGTACCCTGATGAGCTACGCATTCGCCAACGCGCCTAAACATGCTTCTGATCAGGTGGTCAATGTCCTCCTGTGGTATCTCATTCCAGGCAACCACCAACTCCTCTCGAAGCGCTTCTAGAGTCTGAGGAGGACGTTGCAAATTGAGCAATCTCCTACCCATCATATCCCACACGTGCTCAATTGGGGATAAGTCGGGAGATCTTGGTGACCATGGTAACAATGTGACATCATTATGTTGAAAGAAGTCTATTGTGACTCTTGCAACATGTGGTCGGGCATTATCTTGTTGGAAAGTTGGATCTGCCAGGGTGTCAAGATAGGGTAAAAGATGGGGTTCTAGAACTTCGTGGATATAACGCTGCGCGTTCATGTTACCTCTGATGAAGATTAAAGGTGACCTGGAACCATAAGCTATAGCACCCCAAACCATAACTCCAACAGTGTGATGAACATGTCTTTCAACAAAAAACTGTGGATTCCTCCTTTCACCACGTCGCCTTCTAACCCTGGCACGACCATCGTGCATGCCTAAACAAAATCGAGACTCGTCACTAAAGACAATACTGTTCCATTCCTGATCCCAGAGTGACCGTTGTCTGCACCACTCAAGGCGATTACGTCGGTGTTCTCGAGTTAAAGGGAGGACCCAGTGTGGCCGGTATGAAAACAAGCCAAAACTTCTCATTCGTCGGTAAACACTTCGCATGCCAATAGGTCTTCCGTGTTCTGCAAACCATTCATTTGAAATGGACCTGGTAGTGGAGAAACGGTCCCTTAAGGCCAATAATCTTAGGCGGTGATCTTCACGATCTGTTGTTCTACGGCGGCGTCCAGTGCCCCTTGCTCTTTGCGTACGGCCTTCTCGAAGCCATGCCTGACAACACCTAACCACAGTGTCTACACTTCTTTGCACTCTAACTGCAATTGCCCGAAAAGAAAGTCCAGCTTCCCGAAGTCCCACTATACGGCCCCTATCAAACTCACTAAGTTGACGAAATCATACAGGTATCCGTACTCTAGGCATCGTAACCGATCGTAAAAGATGTCAAGAACCAAAATCCGCCAACGTTGATTCTTTACTGAGGCTAAAATATTCATTTTTAGAGCGTTAGTGAATTAAAAAAAGCAGTATAAAAACCGGAATGTCCAACTGATAAGGCTGAAAATTTTTCCACTTTTTATTTACAGTAAGATAAATACATTCACCAACTTTTATTAAAATTAAACCATTTAAACTGGGTGTTCGGATTTATATGTCACTTAGTATATTTTACAGAAGGTATTCATATCAAGATGCAAAGGAATGCTATTTTTTAGCTTAGAGTACAAACAAAAACATATCTCACAATTTCTCAGATAAAGGACGTATAGCGTTAAGTGGGGCATGCTAGCATGTCTACGGCATTAAGAGGGGTAGCTGGTCTCTTAACTTGCCAATCTTTACCATTTATTTCTGGAGATTTAGATTTGTATTTATACAGGGTGTTCCTTAATGATATGCGAATATTTAAGGGTGTGAATCTACATGAAAAAATAATGTTAGTTTGCTTTATGAACATGTTTCCTTACAAAAACTCGGGGTGTTGAAGTTTTAGGACAAAAATGGAATTTAATTAATATTTTCAGAACAGCTTCAGATATTTCACTGATATTTAGTAGGTAGGAAAGTTAATAAAGTTCCATATTTTTCGATGCAAGCATAATTTTTAGCTTCAACAGTGGCGTGCCTTTCGGGTATTGACTTCAATATTTTTTAAGAAAAAAATGGTCTTTGACGAATACAAATTATTTTTAAATTCCCCGTTCAATTAAAAACAAATGATCTGTCTTGAATTGTTTTTCTTCGATGCGCCATTTTTTAGTAAAAAAATAAAAACCGTTCTGTGGTCTAACTTGCACAATTATTATTAATTTAATTGGTAAAGTTAAACACATTAGGGGTAATGAACAACAACAACTGACAACATAAACATAACATTACAACCAACGAAATGATTACAAAAATTGTTCAAAATGGCCCACTTAGTATGCATGCTTCCGCCCTCCTTCTCATGGAATTGCGCACCCGTTGAAATATCCCTGGAGTGTTTTTTATTCTATCACTAGCTGCAACTATTCTTTCTCTTAATTCCTCTACAGTGTTATTGGGACTTGTGTACACTAGTGTCTTAATATAGCCCCACAAAAAGAAATCTAAACTTTTGAGGTCTGGGGACCTTGGTGACCATTTTTGGAGCCCACCGCGGCCAATCCAACGATTTGGATAAACAGTTTGTAAATACCACGCTACAGTGAAATGCGCTCGTGCACCATCATGCATGTACCACATATTGTTTCTTTTTACTAACGGAACATCATCAAGCAGCAAAGGCAACTGCTGTTGTAGAAAATTGAGGTAAGTCTGTTCGTAAAGTCGTCCCCGCAAGAAGAATGGGCCAATAAAGTGGTTGCCAATAATTCCTGCCCATACGTTAACTGAAAATTGGTGTTGGAAATGGGTTTCGGTTACGGCATAGGGATTTTCTTCTGCCCACAAATGATTATTGTGGAAATTCTGAATGGCATTTCGATAAAAATTAGCGTCGTCCGTGAACAGAAAATCAATGATTCAAATTGCGGATTTTGTGTAATTTTTTGGAGATACCACTGACAAAAGGTCACACGCTTTGGAAAATCAGTGGGAAGTAATGCCTGTACTATTAAAATATGGTAAGGATATAAGAAAAATCCACTGAAATTCTCCAAACAATTTGATGGCAAATATTTAAGTGTCTAGCTATCTTCCTCGTACTCGTTTCAGGATGTTCTTCGACTTCGTGGAGCATTGATACCACAATTTCAGGTGTTCTCACACATAGAGGTCTACCTTCAGATGTTCCTTTTCGGACAGAACCAGTTGCAACAAGACAACGATGAATATTAGAAATGGTTCGACTATCTGGCAAAGCACGATCGGGATATCTCTGATGATAAATTCGTCTGGCTTGCTCACCATTACCGGCGACAAGGCCATATACTTAATACATTTCCGCCATTTCTGTATTTGAATAATTCACCGTTATTAAGAAGATTGTAAAAACTAAATAATGAAAAAGATGTCACATCGAACTGATTTGAATAACAGAGACTTGTCAGATGTCAAAGGCCAGTGACATATTCCATTCTTCAATTGTTACATTAATTTTCTCGGACCATAGAACGGTTTTTATTTTTTTACTCAAAAATAGCGCATCAAAGGAAAACAATTGAAGAGATATCATTTGTTTTAAATTGAACGGGGAATTCAAAAATAATTTTTATTTGGCAAAAACCATTGGCGTACCATTTTTTTCTTAAAAAATATCGAAGTGAATACCCGTACGCACGCCACTGTTAAAGCTTACAATTGTACTGAATGGTATGCAACTTTATGAACGTTCACTACGTACTAAATATGAGTGAAATATCTGAAGCGGTTCTGAAAATATTAATTAATTGCCATTTTTTTCCTAAAACTTCAACACCCCAAGTTTTTGTAAGGAAACATTTTTGGACAATAGTTTATAAAGCAAACTAACCTTAATCTTTCATGTAGATTTATACTCTTAAATATTCGCATATCATCAAGGAACACCCTGTATACCATTGCGAAAATCATCAGCTTACTTTTCTATCACAATCAACCCAACTATAGTCTGGTATACTACATTAATTCACTGCAACGCGTAGATAAGACACATCCAGGCCTCCGAACTGAAATAGCTAAGTGTTCGTTTGGTGTCAGAAGAACTACCAAGCCTTTCTCTCGAATTCCCGTGGACCTAACGTTAGAGCAGACGGTAAATGGTGATTCTGCTCGTGGTCTCACTGGGA